GACCGCCTTGCTCTGCAGCTTGTCCAGATCCGACAAGGACGAGCCCCGGCGCATTCTCGCGCGCGGCTGCAGATGTTGCATCTTCAGGAATCCCTCTTTACTCTCCTTGCTCTCCCGGCTGTCCCGGCTATCGCGACTCACGCTCTTCGACGACAACGACGACTTCATGGCGAACAGACCCGCTTTCAGGGGGAACAATAAAGCCCATTCGGTTGACTTCTCCCGAGTCTCCATTATACGTACTTTTTTCTCTCTTTCCGCGGCAACGGAGACCCGATGAAGCAGCTCTCTCTTTTTGTTCCGGGCGCTTATCCCTCAGGACTTAATACCTCGGAACGCCGTGCTCGTTCTCTCCCCTCGCGGCGAGGGTCATTGCCATTCCTCCTGGACGACGGGGTTTTAGCGCGACGCTTCGCCGGACGGTGGTGTTAAAACACTGAAATAGAGCTCGCACACGTCCAGGATATATCGCTATCTTGTCGCGATAGCGTCCGACCGGCCATTTAAGGACTTCCGCTGCAGCGTTTATCGGGCTTCGCTCGCCTCTCGCCCGTTAATTGCGTCCTCGCACTCGGACTATTGGAAAAAAGCGCGCTGCTTAACAGCAACGTACAGGTCGCATTCCCGTTGTCGCGGTGCGTTCCTCCCGGTGGTCGCGCATGCGACTCACAGTCCAGCCGGTGTCATCCTCTTGCCATCTTCCCGCGCACGATTCCTCGCGAACGGGCTCCTACGACGCCTGCCAACGCGAGTTTCCTCTCGTCATGGGCGTATCGGAGAATCGAAGAGGAAGAAAAAAAGGACGCGACTCACTCCGACTCTCGTTCGATTCGTGCCCCGTCCTCTCTCGGGAAAGCTCCTCTTGCCGTCAGTTCCGCGATCAGACTCTCCAAGGGATCCGCGCGAGCACCGAGAAGCCGAGGGCGGCGGTCAGCCCCTAGCCGGACCACCGGTGGTATTTTCACTTAAGTTAACACGACCCCCCGTGCAGATGTACCCTTTGCGAGGCGCCGACGACACTTCCGTCTAATAAAAGCCTAATAACGATCGATACGATATAACGCCCCGCCTCTTTCTCGTTCCATCCGAGTCGAGGATGCTTGACTTCGCGCCTCGTGGAATCTAAGCGCTCTCGAGCAGTGACGGAACCGAAGTCTCTTTCTCTCTATCTCCTCCCGTCCCGTGGCAGGCCTCCGCTTCCTCGACAGCCGGAGCAACGGAGCGACAACGCGCTCGCAATCGTCGGGATATGACTGCGATACCGAGAGGGAAACGTCGCTCGACGTCGAGCTCGCGTCAAACATCGCGCCAACCGCGATAACCAAGTGGCGGGAGGCGAGACCTTGCCGGCGAAGGTGATACCCGACTCCTCGTCGTCGGGGGACGACAGTCATACGGGCTACTGATTATGGCGATCGGCTTGGCCCACATAGATTATTGCCCGACTTACGAGGTCCTATCGCGGAAAACGCGCCGGACGTGTGCGTGCGAGAGAAAGAGCCCGAAAGCGTCACCTTCGACGCGATTGGACGCGCTCCGAGTCATAGTGCCGGGTGTTATCGCCATGGAGAGGAGAGCCGGTGATGATTCAGTTTGATCGCACGTGCGAAATATTAATGCCGTTAATATAACTTTATACTCCTCATACATAGATAAAATCCAATCAATACATTAACGTTGTCGAGCGTAAGCGGCATCGAGAGGGGAGGGAAATTAAAGGTCCGGAATCGCGTCGCGGTGTGGAGTACACGGACTTTGCGTTACACTTTGCATACTCGTACGTGTGTACTCTCCCGCGTTGTGTTTCATTATACGCGACGAATTGGTAACTTCGCCTTCCCCGACTGATCGCGCGTGAGCGGGAACGACGGCGAGGAGAGGCGCTTCGTCCGCCACGGTTGAGCGCGGCAAGGAATTCTGCATAAAATGCGGAACGAGCGCAGCATAGAAACGCACGTCTTTGTGCGAATGATAAGGAAAGAAAGAAAAGCGACGAGGATATCCGCCGGTGTGCGTGAGGTAATGTTCGACGCGGCGGCCACCGCGAGATCGAGTATAAGAACGTGTCTACACGTAAAAGCCATTTTATCAGTAAGAACAGAAGGGAGGAGAAATACGGCGGGAAGCCGAGCTCTTGTAAATCGCTTTAGCGAGAGCTCAGTCCGCAGCAACAGAAGAATTCCACCGCCGTCGAAATATCCGGTCTAATGCGATCCGATCATTTTTCTTGCCGTTGAACGAAATAAAGACGGGGCGGAGGGTTCGGACGACGGCGGGCGAGAGAAGGGAGAAAATGAGAAACATCCGGGAATTATCCCGCGGAGTGTTTCCACGGTAGTTCGCGGGAACAACGAAGCGCGGAGCGGAGCCGTAGGGCGGGACGGGGTGGTGCAGTTTCCCCTCGGGCTTTCACCGCGACCGTGACGTTTCCCGCGCACGTAGGGCTCCCGACGCGGAAGCAGAGAGACAGATTCCCGGTGCGTCGCCGTTTTGCGTAGATCAGTCGTCCCCGTGAAAGCCCGGGGTGAGAAGAACGCATGGGAACGCCGGTCCAGCTGAAAATCCGGACAAATCGGTCCCGATTGTTTCCCGGAGGACAATTATTCCGCCGAGGACGCTTCTTCCGGAGCGCGCGAACGCTCCCGGAGGGCTCGCCGACGAGTCCCGATGGAAACGCGGAAACGAGCGCGCGTTAGAATACGCGGCGACGGCGCGCTAACCGAGCCGCCGGCGAATTTCGGCCGTTGTAACTCGCGACACGTGAAGGACTCGCGCAGGTATTCTTCGCGCTCGTCGCACACGAACAATGCGCCTCGAGATTGCAAATTATTCCCCCCCATCGGCCTCGCCGCTTTACTTTTTAGGGAGCCGCGCGTCCTCGATATTAATCGCCGCCGCTTCACAGACGACGACGGACCTACGGTGGGCTCTTCCCTTTCTCTCTCCCGCTTTTTCCCCTCCCTTTTGCAAATCAAAAGCCATTCCGGAACCGTAGTGGGTTATGGCAATTACGGAGCAGCGGCGACCCTCCTGGCACGGTTTCCAGCCTGTGGAAGCGGAAAACAAACAACCCCGCTATACGCGATTTACATTTTCCACCGCGGGGCCAAAGTTTCTCGAGCGTGTGTGTGTGTGTATATGTATACAGCGACTACCGTCGAGGCTCCAGGAACGGCGCCAGGTGCGTACTCCGGTGCTGTTTCAGCCCGACAAGACTGCGTTAATGGAAGTTTCGTGTAAGCCAGGCGTTAATCCGATACAGCGGCGAGTACGCTGCACACTTTTAAGGCGGCGTCGCGGCGCGGCCGATAACGAGGCGTCGATAACTCCGGCGATACTTTATACGTCTCGTCGGACATTCGCTGCCCACGCACCTAGATCAATAGCGTGTATACTACCGCGGCAATAACGTTCGACGATCGTCGATTAGCGACAGCCGGACGTCGAGCGACCCTCTCTAGTTAGTCCTCCAGAAGTCGAGGTGGAAAAGCACGAGAGTAGTCTTTATCGCCGAGAGGCGCGCGCGCTCTTTGAAGGATCCGGGGCTAAGGAGGAAGCGCTCGTATGTCGTGACTCGCGTTCGCCGTTGTAACAGATACATTTCTAGAAGTAGCTGAATACAGATACGAATATTGAAAGGGAAATTGTAAGTAGATGCGGATATAAGTTTGAGGTAAATACCGAGATATAGATACACGTAGCATGAGAACATATCTGGATGCAGTTCATAAAGTATATATTCTCATAGCACATGTGTCTATGTAGTACATGCATCTAGTTATTTGCCTTGAATTTATATCTGTATCTACTTACACTTCCCTCTCAGCATCTGTATCGGTGCACGGAGAGAAAGAAAAGATCAGCTGCAGCGGCTAAATTAGTTGTAACATATGGATACCTGAAAGGCTTTAGCGGCATAAGGAATTTTAATTGCTGCGAACTCTTCTGTTAAATGTCATTTACGATTCTACGTTTGCCGCAGCAGCAAAACAGTCAGCCACTGCAGCAATGAAAATTTGCTCACACCGCTAAAGTTTCAGGTGTCCATATATTACAACTAATTCAGCTACCGTGCAGCTAATCTCTTTTTTTCTTCGGTGTATCTGTAGTTGCTTAAAAAAAATATATATCCGCTGCAACACTGCTCGTGTTTTACCGGAGTCGCCGTGGAAATTCGTGGGACTGCTCGAAAGTGCTCGAACTATGCGTCGGGCGAAGCGTTCGGCGAAACAAACGGCACTACGAGTGCGTGACGCCAGCGAGCGATTATTTAACAGTTCCGGTCGCATCCTTCGTGGAAGGGCAACGCGCGTCACACATATTATCTGCGCGCCAGTTGCCGTATGACATTTGCGTGATCGTTTTTCAGCCGATATCGGCGCGCGTCCGATTATCGTTATTCTGTTTGATCGGCGAGCGACATTTTTCCGTCGCTCCCGCGCGCGGCCTGTATGACGAAAGTCCGCGTGCCGCCGCATTAATGATAACGGCCTCCCCTATCAATCACCGTGACGTTCACGTTGTGCATACAAAGTAGAGGGCCGTGGAAAAACTGGGGCTGATGCAAATACGACACGGTCTAATGTCAGCACGTGGGATGGATATTCGAAGAGGAATCAACGCACCGGCGTCCGCAACCTTCCGGCCTCGCGGCAATTAACGCGTCGCAAATGAGCGCGAGGAAATTGCGTTCGCTCACTCTCTCTCGTGCGTGTGCACACTTGTACGTGTGCGCGAGATAACGCGAAGGTGAAGCAGATTGACAAGGCCGCGGCGTAGCTGTCGCGAAGTACAGGTCGCGCGGCAAATGCGGGCATCGCCGCATTTTTTCAAAGGTCGTCGCCGCGGTCGTCGACCGTCGAAACGGAAAGTCGTCGGGGCGCATCGATCGAGTCGACCCGCGTTCGTTCGTTGACAGCGGGGAATAACTTTCGAGCGCACGCATGAAAGAAAGAACGAGCTGATCGATCGTAAAGTCGAGCGGCTTGAGTTCTACGTACTTTCATGCCCATGATCTGATTGTACGCCCAATGCCAGCGTTGCCTCGCCGTCATCCCCGGACGTTCCTTCAGCTGCGTCGGCACCGGCGCCGCCCCGACCATCTTCAAGAGCTCCTCGTCCGGTGTCGGCTCGGGCGGACTCCGCGGCGGGGTGTCCATCTGAACGCTCTCCTCCAAGGACGCCTGCTTCGTTATACTCCCTGCAAAACAAATCGACGGGTTAGTCAGCGGTGCGGAGGAGAAAGCGAGAGATTCGTCTCGATTTAGTTTAACTGTCAGCGGGGTGAGCTTACCACGCGGACTGTCGATGTGCGACAACGGCGGAGTTTCCTTGAACGGTTCGACCAGTGAGTCCTCTCGAGAGTTACGAAGCAAGGCTTCTTCACCCCGCTCGTACCTTCGGCGAAAACAGAAGGAGAAAAGGCTCGTTTCAAAGGTCAGTCGAGATTAAATCGAAAAATCTCACGCCCTTATTTACTGGCGTACGTGAAATTTGGTTCGTATGAGGCATTCGGATCTGAGTTTGTAGTCAGATCTGAATGTTTCGGTTTAAGTTAGTTCGCGCGATCATAGATGTAATCTCAGGATTCAACTGAAAAACTCAGATCTGAGTATCTCACGTGAGACAAGATTCAAGGAACATGTGAGACGATTTCGAATGACGAATAACGATGAGGAACAAATAAAGAACGGGTACAACGCAAACAACGCGTAGATTTAAAAGACATCTCAAAAACAGCCTTCAGACGTCTTGAGCCTTGTCTACAATATGCTTTTATCTTTAAATTTTAAGGTATAAGCCTTAATATATTAAATCAGGTAGTTCACGACATTCGTTTAAGTCGGTCGAGGAACTATCAACCGCGATTGGTCAATTTTCTTATTGCTCGCGTCTTAAATGTAGGAATTGTTGATTTCCTTTACGTCTCGTAGCTTATGGATTGGAGCAATTTTTAAATCGGATATTACGTTACTTAACATTTAAATTTAACGCTTCCATTGAAGCAAAGTTATAGACAAAGCCTTATTGTCTAAAAGACGTCCTTTAGACAAGTCTCATTATTTGAAAGACGTCTTTACGGTGTTTTAGGGCGCGTTAACGTTATCTGAGAAGACTTAGGGCGGTATTGATTTATATGCTTATAGTCTAATCTTACATTCAAGATCGTCCTAAGTTCATCTTCAGATGCTCTAAGAGCCTTCGAAGTTTCACTAGCTGCACAGGATTTAATAATAAACTTAAGACGACTTTAAATGTAAAATCAGAATATGAATATCGCCTTTAGTCTCATGCTTGCTGAGATCTACCTCTCGAGAGTCTCGTCCCGCATCTGATAGTCCCCGTTCACCGCGTTGCTCAGGACAATGTCGCTCTGATCTATCGACTCCTGATCCTTGAAGTGACCGCGCTGGTAGCTCTCCGCCCGCGAGATGGGCTGCGGCGTGAAGTTCTGCCCGTAATTGCCCGCTCGTAATTCCCTCTGCTGATACGAGTCGGTCCTGGTCAAGGGCGGCTTGAAGCCGTCCTGCGTGCTCGACGAGAAGGAGTCCTTCCTGCTCAATTGCGTGTACGATCCTCTACGACTGTACGAGTCCTCGGGGAAATTGTCCGAAGCGTAGGAATCGCCTCTGGTGAGCTTCGGCTTCTGCGTCGACGAGTGCTGACTCAGTTGACTCAGCTGCGAGTCCTTGCGCTGCAGCTCCTTGGGAATGATCTCCGGATATTCCTCGTCCTCGACCAGGTCCTGCTGGTAGGAATCCGTTCTGGCCAGTCGCTTGCCGTTCGCGATAGTGGTGGCGTGCACCATCGCGGTCACGGTCATGCTGGTGGTCACATGGTTGGCCATCGTCACGTGATTGACCATGGTGGTCTGCGGGATTTGAGAGATGTTCTGCGGCGAGTCCACCAAGGTGGTGGCCGCATCGCCAGCCATCGAGTACTCGGCGAAGCCTTTCTTCGGCTGACTGCTGCTGATCGAGCTCACCGCCGTGTCGAAGGAGTCCTTCAGCTCGTCATCCCGTGACTCGAGCGAGTCCGTGTTCTGCTGGAGAAGCGGACCGACCTCGCGTTTACCGAGCTTCTTCCTTCTCGAAGATGCCAACGGCGACGCGTCTTCGTTCTCTTGTGATTGATAGAAATATTCCGACTCGCTCGACGGATAGCCGTTCGCTCTCGTTTGACCTTTAGGCGTGGTCACGGAGAGCTCGGGCACTTCGCTTTGTCTCCTGTCCGTCACGGTGGCCGTTGTCGTCGCCGGGCTGTCCTTGTAACGCTGTTGCTCCTCGAAAGATCCTTGATAAGAGTCTTGGTACTCGTCGTACGACTCCTGATACTCCTGATAAGATTCCTGATAATTGTTCTTGTACGTCGTAGGTACGTCCTCCTGCTTACCGTACGGAGTTTGATAATCTACGAAGTTTTCCGGCTGCTTTGTATAGGATTCCTGATAACCCTCCTGCGACGTAACAGGCACTTGATTGTACGTCTCTTGATAAGTCTTCTGATAATCGCTCGACGTATTAATATTGTACTGTGAGTCGTACTGCTCCGGCTGGTACTGATTGTAGGTGTTCGCGACGTTGTTCTGGTCGTAGACGCTCGACGGCACGGTGACGGCGCCGTAGTCCTCGTATTGCTCTTGATAAACGTTCTGCTTGTAATCCTGCTGGTATTGCACGTTGTTCTGGTTGAAGCCCATCTCGTGGTAGTTGTCCTCGATTACCATGCCGTCCGGCTTGTCGTACTGACTCTTCGGCCGATTCCCCGCGTATTGATCGTTCGCCTGGCTGGCGGCGGTCGGATACGTCGTGTCCTGATACGATCCTTGATACGCCTGAGTGTTCTGCTGGGCGTACGGCTGCTGCTGGTACTCGTCCTTGTACGAGTTCTGCTGCGTGTACGCCTGCTGCCCGTAGCTGTTTTGCTCCGCGTGCTGCTCCGGGTACGAATGACTGTATTGACCATCGACCTGCGTGGTAGCCGTGTAATCCGTCACGTACTGATTATCCTGATTAACCTCGGGATAATGAATCTTGTTGGTGGCGTGCTGTTGCTGCTGCTGCATCGGCTGATCGACGCCGCTTACGGCGGTGCCTTGTTGCCCATAAATGTTCTCCGTGTACGTGTCCTGCGGCAGATTGTCCTGACTACGGTAAGCGTAATTGTAGTCCTCATTGTAGTCGGACTTGTAGTAGCTATCCTCGGAGGGCGTCCTGGTGGTCTTTGGCAGTTGTCTGCTCGGCGTCGCGGGCAGAGACGCGAGCTTACGACCGATCACCACGTTGCTCGGCTTGGTCGGGGTCGGAGGTAGTTTCTTACCGGTGCCCTCCTGCCGGGACATTGGACGTTGCTGCGGCTGCAGGACCTTCCGGCGACGAGCGCTGTGCCCGCTTTGAAGGAGGGTAACAAGCATACGGTTATTTTAATTTCACTTCAACCTACGTTTTTTAATCAAGCTTTCACTACTAGGTTAAATCAGTCTTGGTGTAATAAATGTTAAGATTTTATTGAAACTTCTTATACGTGTTCTCTTATTAAAAAGTTACGTGTACACATGTATCCTCTAAAAACAACGTATATATTTTTTATTTCTCGGCTATATTCTACTTCCGTAAGAGCGTCTTAATGCCTCGCATTTTGAACCAAATACCGAGACAGAGTAGTTTCGCGATATGAACGACTCTTAAACGTAATTCCTCGAGCGTGACGTACTTGTAGTCGAGCTCTTCGGACTCGTAGCTACGCTGTCGGGTAACGGTGGGCCTGTAGTCCGGCCGGTGTATCCCGATACTCGAGGCCGGCCGTTGCGGAAGCGTCTTTCTGTTACGTTTATTTTCATAGTACGTACTCGTTCCCGAGTACCATTTCCCTCCGCTATCCCACTGCCTGTCCTCGTCGTCTTGACCGTATCTGAAGAGAAAGAGAGAGAGAGAGAGAGAGAGAGAGAGAGAGAGAGATGAGAAAACTTCAGTTTCCTCGTTTCCGACCTCGACAAGCTTTTTAGATCTCGCGCTTCTTTCGTACGTCTTTTTTTATCTTCGTGATATTAGTCGAACTGATTTACCTCTCGTCCTGATAGACGTATCCCGTTATGGTGTCGTAGTACTCGTTATACCTAATATCCGTCTCGCATTCCGGATACGTGGCGCTCATTTTACCCACTCTTCCGTCACTGCTGTACCCGTCAGCGTAATACGAGTGATCGTCATAGAGGGTCATCTGTCTTTCCAGAGACGGTCTTCTGTACGGTATAGCTTGGAGAAACACAGGCAGAGACGTCACAAATTTATTTTCATTCGCCAAGATACATCTCGCAGAGAGTGCACGATAAAAAATGAAGATCCAACGAAGCTGACACAACTGAAGGGACAAAAATTCCTCCGCGACGTAATATAGTTTATTTAACATTGCGTAACAATCAACACAGAGAGGTCCAGGATTCCGTTCGAACGGCAGACAGGCGGGGGAGTGACTCGGGAGAAAATGTGCGAGGAGCAAAGTAAAGGTGAAAATAAAGGACGGCCTCGGAGGAAAGCTAGCGAGAATTTTCTTTAATAATCCGCGGTGCATTTACCAGCCAGGATTTAATACCTTTTCCGCCCCGTTTTCTCGTGCTCGAACTGTTCGTGTAGTATTCGGTGTCGCTGTAGATCCTCGTGTCATCGACCCTCGTGCCGTAATAGTCATAGCCCTCGCTGTACCAGCCGTCTTGGCTGAAAGCAAGAGATCGTTATCAAACGTCTATGGTCACATCATTCATGAAGGCGCGATTCTGAGCCGAGGATGAGATGACTCGTGATAACGATAAAAGGAGGATTTTTGCCCGCCTTCTCGAATGATCAGCTGCGCCTACTATAACTGCACTGCATGCAAATGCCTGTGAATTGATTAATGCGTTCTTTCGATCGTTACTAAGCTAATTGCGTGTACTCGTCGTGCGCGAATCGTTTGCGAGAAACGTCAACGATTTGTTCAACTTGTTGTCCCTCGGAAATTCCACGAAGGAGATCTGTTTGTTTCCTCGAATTGCAGTGGCGGAGGCACGTCTAAACTAAGGTAAGCCATGTGTACAGTCATTTGTCAGAGGCGTTTGAATCTTATTTTCACGTGCATTCGGCGAGAATGCGAGGTGAGTGCTTGCGATAGTGGCCTACATTGTAATGAACGAGCGGCTCGACGTAATCACCCCGCGATCGATGAGTTGAGCAATTGCATACGGTTAATTGAGTGCAATGCAATCAAAAGCTAAACCCAGCGTTGCGGTAATGCGCGGCCGGTGTGCCGATATCGTGATTATGCCGGTAAAGAACGAAACATGATGGATGGAGGCTGATAAGTCGCGTATGCGTGAGTGGTGGGTGCTGTAATAAGAGTCACTGTGGAAAATTCTCACGAAACCCGCAGAAAGCCGCGCTCCTACCGTACCTGTCCTCGTAATCCCACGTGTGCTTCCGTCGTCTGGATCAGGCAAGAAAATAATCAACGGTTTTCTTCTGTCGTATTAACGACGCGAACTTAACGATAAACAAGGATTATTGCGCGCTCGGTGCTTTTCATAACAGAGATACGCTGCGCGTATTCACGTATTGCACGTGTAAAAATGTCTCTTTTGTATCTTCGAACAAAGTAAGGAAACGTACATGGAATATATTCGCGTTCGATGATAAATACATTGTATTTAAACATTCGTTGATGTATTCGAGAGATAACACGTATATGAAAAGAAATGTCTGGTTGCATTAGTCGGAAAGGGAACAATAGGCCGGATACGTTTTGGTTGAAATAAATAAAATTTCTAGTCGTTATGAGCCAGAAATTCTGTTCCCTTCGATAAAAATGCACCCGGTTGTTCCCTTCTCTGGTTAATGCAACTAGACCTTTTTCCGTGTAATATCGGTCAATGTTAAAGATTATTTGGGCTATGCCACGCCAGTAATACCTGTATTCCTTGTAATGCTTCGGTCGGCTGTTGTAGAAGAGCGGCTCGGAAGACTCTGAAGGGTGCTGGGACTGCGAGTACCTCTGCGGTAGACTTTCCTCGGGGTACGGCTCGTCGTATCTCGGACTGTGGCCCGAGCTTCCGTAATTTCCATAATTACCGGGCGCCAGCCGTCCCCCGACGGTGACTGGAATCTAAGGAGATGGTTCATTTAATTTGTTATCGCACGGATTAGCGAGGACGTGTACGGCGCACGTGGATGGAAAACTCGGGTCGTTCTCTTTAAACAACGGGTCCCCGCGGTCCCGTCGGAGGCTTTTACATCGTTACAACGAAACTACTCAACAGACGAAGACCCTCCGGCGTAAGTCACGTCGCTCGAGGTCGCCTCAATGGCGCATCTATTTGACCCGAGTGTCCCGAGCGGAAACTTCACGTTTCGCGATTCCACGGTCGATCAATACCTGATGATCGTCTCTCTCGTAACTGTTTTCTCTCGACGTCTCGAGGGATCTCTGAGGCGTAGCCAATTGGTTGGCCGCCGTGCGAAACTGCGAGGCCGAGCTGTTCGCGCCCTGTCCACCTACTGGATAATTCAAGTCCGACGTGTAGTCAGAGTCCTCCGAGTATCCCGCTGAAAGATGGATCGTATATACTGCAAGCAGAAAGAACTGACGGACGCTTGATATCATTCGCCCGATAAGTTTTCGTGTTTGGCCGAAACGTCGTCTCTCGGCCACGTCGACGGGAACGTCGCTCGGTGTACGCCAAAGACTGTCATTATAACGTCGGAGTGTGTCGATTATAAGCAAAGGAGCAGAAAAACTGAGAGTCAACGTCAATCACACGTTCAGCGACGTGATGGATGCGAATCGCCCGCCTCTAGCGATGATCGTCGCTCGGGTTTCGTTTCCTAACGCGTCGGAGCCCGTCGAAGTATCACTGATTCAATAATACACTCGGTAAAATTCACGCTCACGTTCGCGCCCGGCATCGTGACCTAACGCGGGTTCGGCTGTTCCCCTGAATAAAACGTGAAGCCAATTTCGTAACTTCGCCGCGCGGCAGTTTCGCAACTTCCCGCAGACAGACAGAATTGGTCGATATTGGTAGAATCCGGGAACTGAAGTGGTGCAATAGCAGGAAGCAAGATAAGTATAGTTATAACAGCCATGCGACAAATTGATCGTCGTGTTGGCATCGTCACGATCTCCTCCTTCGGCCTCGTGTGCGTTCTCTGTTCCTCTTTTCCATCCTTCTCTCTTTTCTTTCAATTTCCTCGGCAGAGGGAACGTAAATTACCGCACGGAAGACATACAAATGTATTTCTGTAAGGGCATAGAACGCGAGAGAGAGAAAGAGAGAAGAGAAAGGGAAGAAGAAAGGAACGAAAATCGGCTAGACACCAACGACTTATCAGTACAGAGGCGAACTATTTTGCTTTCATGCTGCCTTCTCATAGCTCTTACGGGCTGCTAAGGGTTGCTAAGAAAGAAGGGGGTGTAACAACGGTGGTAAGTTACCGACGACACGTCGATAGCCGATAACACATACGAAATGGGCGGTCTCGTATGCCCGTTTCTCCAGGGTAGTACTTCGCTACATACTCTCCGTGGGTAAGACAACAACGGCGTGCGCGTAGCCGCCGATCGTAGATAGGGGCTGCTACCACACGGAACCCACACACAAATTGATTTCTCGCATGAAAAAACAGGGGCGTAAAAGTTTTATGACTTACTCGGAAGTAGCGTTCGAGCGAACGACCTAGAAAGCCACGGTTTCTAAAAATACTTCAAGTATGTCAGACGATCCGTGTGTGGATGAAAGTGCCGTGTGACGTAGTACAGGCTGCAGCGAATTAACGCTCGCTATGTAAATATTGCCGCGCGATGCCCGCACGGGATTCGTGATTCCGCGCGCGGACTGAAATAATAATAATAATGCGCGGGCGAAAAAGCGAGCGAACGCGGCGCGACACCGGTGACACGAGAAAGTAGTTAGAGTACGTCGCGGATCAGACGCGAGATAGGTCAGTAGAAAATCCATCGTTATATGCGCGCCCACAGAGAAAGAGAGAAAGAGACCGACCGCCGAATAAGACGGGAATCGAAACGGCCCGATATATCCGCGATTTATTTTAACTCCGTGAGCCGTCGGGCAAAGAGAACGATCGATACCGAGAGTCGTCGTGATTTCTCGCTTTCTTGACTTACGTCGCGAGACAGGTACGTTTCATTCGTCGTGCATCGAATTCCTCGCGGACGGGGAAAGAAAATCAATCGCGAGCGAACGGGCCGGATGAGAGATAGATAATCGATCGGCAAGAAGGGGAACGACGTTCTTCTCTCTCCCTCTCTTGAAGAGGGGAAGAGAGAGAGAGAGAGCTTTCAAATAAAATATCAGCCATCTAAACGGTAATTTTGACGGTACTTACAGTGGCCTATATTGTACAATATTTGTCTTCGTGCCTGTTCGGCCCGCGCCTCCTGGTCCATCATGTTGTTCAGCATTTCCAGCTTCCTCTGCAGATCGGCCGCCTCCGTGTTCTCGGGGTCTTTCGAAAAGATAGATATCGATGGGGAAACAGTTAATCGCGAGTCTCGACAATCTGACGTCTTCAGTCGATCTGTCATCCTAAGTTTTACTTAGACACGTGTGTGACTCTCGTGACAAAAAAAAAAAGAAAAAAGAAAGAATAGAATAAAACAGATAAACAAGAAGACTCCACTATATCGTGTGTGTGTGTGTGTGTCTACATTAATAACCACTAATATCTATAACGAGCTCGCGACAAAGAACAGCTACGAGGACTTGACACATTTGTACGATTATGTCGTTCGGTCTAGTGTGTGATCGTTTATCGATACGTTTGCTCCTGGTGTGATGATCGCGAGCGCGACCAGCGTTTTATCATTTCGCCCGGACGTTTCACGTACACATTGCTCGAAAATCGCGCGCGAATGCCCGCGATTCAAGTGGTCCGCGGCGGCGAGAGTGCACTTTATCTCGCCGGATTACCCTATATAAATGATATCAACCCTCAGCGCGTCATCAGCCGCCTCTGGCTGCTCCCGCCTGATCGTAATTACATATTGAACCAACAAACTCCCGAGGACCATTCGGCAAACTTTGCCGAAGCCGTGACAACCTGACTCGCCGGTGCCACCGGCAGCAGGTAGCTGGTCGGCGGCCGATTTATTACGGCTGCCATCTCGCGAGCTGTCCCACCCCAGCGAGCCGTTCCGATATTCCGACGACGACGACATCGGAGGAGGACGCTTCCCGGCGCGGAAAGAAAGAGGCGACCGTCTCTCGGCGTTCGCTCCGTGCGCACGTTGAGTGCATCAATATCCGGTCTCGCTCCCTCGCGTCTTTCCAATCGCGTGTCCCTGAGGAGCAGCCTGCCGCTTAACTGGAACTTCGATCGGCTAGTTAGAGCGTGATGGACGTACGCAAGGTTGATGAAAGGGCCGGCACTGCCGTCACCACTGCGTTAGCTCGAGGGAGTGCTCGGCGATCGCACTCTCCACGTGCAACGTTTCCCTCACGTCTGACCTATCGCAACCGAGCTTCGCAGCGCGGGTGAACTCTAAGAGTGTACGATTTCTCGAGTTCTCTCTCTTCGAACGTTGCGAGCCGTTTTCACGGGTTTCAGTTATTTCGCCTCGCTTGTGATTTAATTGAACGCCGCGATACACGTCCTTGGCAAGCGTACTTGGCGTTTCTCGTCCTCCGCGGGCGTTACGAGGTCGCGTTGTGTCTCGTGGCGACGGGCCCGTGGGGTGTGTAATTTTCGCTGAATCTTGACCGACGTGAGTTGCTACCGTGCCGTCGGGGAGCGAAACTGCTTCACCGGCACGGTTTCTCGCGCTTCTCCCCTCCGGATTCAATTAGAAAAAGGGTCAAGCCATGTGAAGGAGGAGCGAGCGTCTCCTTTGAGGATCGTCGCCGACGATGTCGCGAGTTTTCGGCTTTGCCTCGACGGGCGCCAATTTTCTCCCTCGTGACCTTCCTCGGCCGCCCTTCGGAGCGGCTAGAGAGCCGTCCCCTTTTCGCTACATCATCGCTCGTCGCAAATGTAAGAAAAAAGCGCAGCCAGCTGCGCCGCAAGAGCCGGAGGCCGCGGAAAAAGTATCCCTCGGTATATCCCTCATCTACGATGCATACACGTGCACACTACATACGCTCGGCCTCGTGCTGTTTCGTATTCCTCCGCCGGACGGTCGAAATAAATGCAATGTAACTGCAGGCGGCCACGGTAATGGCGCTACCGTAACAGCTGGCCGTCCATATATTGACAAACTTTGAGAGACCACGGTGACGCGCGTCGCCAAGAGCAGTCTCCGTGTCTCCCTCTTATCCCAAAGTGCTTCCTCTATTTCTGCCGGCCGTTATTTCCTGCGTTCCGCTATCGGACGTCACTCACCTTCTCACGGCTAAATTAGGAATACCGGTATCGATAACGCGGCCGAGTATAATTGGCGACGAGCTCGCGCGTTGTAGCTCGCGATAGAGAGAGAGAGAGAGAGAGAAAGAGAGCGTCTCTCTCCCCCGCATCCTCCGAATCTCCCCACGTCCTCTCCGCTTCTTCCTTTCATCCGCGCGCGCATTTCGACAATGTTATCCGTTAAATATCCGATACGCGGCGTTATCTTGTTAAAAGCAACCGCGAGGAAACTCGCGGAATTCCCTTTCGCTCGTCTTTGATTCCGCGCCGCGCGATCGTATATACATGTATAAGTGCGCGCGGGTGCGACCTTCCGGAACGTGGAGCCGTATTTTCTCGGCGAGATTTCCAAAGAAATGAAATAAATTTCGCACAATAGAGCGCCCGAAACCCGCCGCCGGTTCCCACCTTCTTCGTGTACTCGCAGCGCGCGCCAAGGAATTATACCACGTTACCGCGCTTCTCAAGCAGATTCTATTGATTCTTTTCTCGAAAGAATCACCTCGACTGACTCCGAATGGGCGTCCGACGTCACCTGGATGTAAACGATTGGAGAGAGAAAGAGAGTGGAAAGAGAGAAAAAGAGAGAGAGAGAGAAAGTGAGAGAGAAAGACTTTCCAAGTCGATATACAGGACCGACTCGAGAAACACCCTCGAATCTTCTCGACGCGCTTTATCATTCTTGTCGCGCGCATTTCCGCGGGAGAATTAATACGAGGAAGAAATTTTCTTCTCACAACTTCTCGACGACTCTTCTTCCGACCGTTCGTCTACGTGCAACATATAACGTCCAATTAATACGCACAATTAATCTCGCGTGCGTTTCAATATGAAACGGCGCTATCGATCGGCCACGATACATCCCACCGGTTAAAAGTTCAATATTATTATCGCTTTATCTTAAAGCGGACGTATTATCTGTACGAAAGCGCCAAAAGTGAACCCGTGTACTCGGTTCGGAGATGGGCGGGCGAACGACGGCCTTATATTCCAGTGAGCGCGATACAGGTGAGGATTTACCGCGGGGGAGGGAGTTAAATCCCCCGGAAGGTCGTTTTCGTTCTACTCATCACCCGCTGTCGCCTTTATCTCTAACCCCGTATATCCGGTTTGCCCGTTCGTGTGGCCTCGTGCTCGGGGCGAGAGCGTGTAATTAGTCCATTTTGAATGTCCTACGGCATTATCGTAGGCATGAAAGTCGGCTACCACGTACGTGCTTCGAGCGCGATATGTATTCCGGACGTCGATCGTCGTGAGATTAAAGTAAAAGCACAATCTCTATCTCCAGATGCTCTTGCCGTTCTAGTCATTGAATAAGAATAATAAAATTCCCAATATAGAATAAAAGTCTTTCCTTGTACCCGAGAGTTTTAGTCGCAGTATCCAAACACTTACTTTCCATCAGTTTATACTTTCTGTAAAATAAATAACGGCTTCATTTGTCGGCGTAATGGATTTGCCAACTCTATTAATGCTCGCAGTGAAAAGTAATGAATTATTCATAAGGTTAATTATGTTATAATGAAATACGAGAATACACGAGACAATTTTTTTAGCTAAAACAAAGCGTAACGCATAAGTAGCTAAATATACATCGTGCAAAATACAGGATGTCCAGGCACCGATACATTTGCTTTACAAAACTGCGCGCTTATTAAATACTTATTGTGGAAAATAATATTCAGTTAAAAAAATAATATTCAATTAAGATATTTTGCTCTCTTAATATTCAATTAATATACTTTATTCTTTAAATAAATCGCCTGTTCTTTTTAATTCATATGTTAATTACGTGCAACACGATTCTCTTTATGACTAAGTCTCGTTCAGAAATTGGTTTTTTCCTTACGCGCTAACCAGGGCATTTCTCTTGTGCAGAAGACAGAAGATTCGTCTCTGCATTTACATACGTTCGAGCAATGTGTACGTTCGTTGACCACGCGCTTCGCTCTCTCTGATAATAAGTTTCATCCGAAAATATCGTCGATTGCGATAAAATTCTTGGCGTTCGTGCCGCAAAGGGAATTCGCGATAACGACGATCACGAAAATTTGCGGCGCCCGCGGTAACAACCGTCCCGGCGGCGCGACACGAGGAAAACTTTTCGAGAGGAACTGAATAAACGGCCAACTTATCTCTCGACGCCCTTTCGAAATGTCTCTCTTCTCGAAATGTACTCTGTGTACGTAATGTCTTCATTGTGCGAGAGAACGGTCGCGAAGAGATGAAAAGAATAGGTACATACTTCACGATGCTTGCTCATGCTTGAATAAGATTGAACTAAGGGTTCCCTATCATATCCGTCAGGTTCGTACTTAACGATGGACAGTGTACTAACCACTAATACCGGTATTGCTCCCCCATCGTGGTACGTTTGTGATTCTGACGTTAATGTCGCTAATGCCATAGCACAATTCTCGTGTGTAACTAATTTACAAGATACGTATGTATGTATGTGTATATATATATTATAAGTTACGTAATATATAGACAGATAGAAAGAAGAGAGATAGAGAGAAAGAAAGAAATAGCGAAGAAGGGGCGGGGGGGCAAGTGTCTACGGACAGTCGATAATTACAGTGTCGCAGCCATAGCTTAATGTTTCTGCAGGTACCCTCTCTTTCATGTATCGATACTTGAAAGAAAAACACAGAATCGAACAACAACAGAGAATCTCTGATCTCTCTCTTTTCCTTCCTTTTACTTCGTTTCTCTTTGTTTCTTTCCTTTTTTCTTTACTCATCCGAAATCCCCCCGTATTGTGCTATCGCCGCGCCACTGCGTGCACGTGCGATGGTGCTCCGGGGAGTAAGTGTGTGCTCACAAAAAAAGGAAGATGTACCTGAAGAGAGAAAGTCTCCTTTGTCTTCAGTCGATTCAAGTTAATATCGACCAATTGGAACGAATGCAATGCGCAAAAACACAGCGCTCGTCGAGGGAGAGAGAGAGTGAGAGAGTGTAAGAGTGTGAGAGAGAGAGAGAGAGAGAGAGAGGGTGGCGTTGTTCGGTTGCGTGTACATAATCGAGACGCGAAGCTCTGATTGATCGTGAGGATCAAAACTCGCCGGAAAAGAGTAGAGAGAGAGGGGGAGGGGGTAGAGAGAGAGAAAGAGAGAAAGAGAGAGAGAGAGAGAGAGAAGATATATGCTGCGAATATTGATAATAATACACCATGAAATAATAGTCGCGCGAACGTGTTTTCTAAACGGTGACAAAATATTTTCGTCAAAATATATGTGCAAGTATCCGAGGCGTATCCGTTTTCTTCCCAATTAAGTGATTAAACAATGTTATGTAAAGTTTCTTCAGGTGCTCCAAGGAACGAGTTATGAACGAGTTATGAACGAGTTACGTATATATGCTGAAATAATGCAGCTTACTGTTACGTAATATCCATCAGTGCGTGTCACAGAGCTAATTAAAATGATTCCAAATTGCAAACAGAGAGACAGAGGAGCAGCAAATAATCGATCGTATGGCAAAAAGAGAATAATGCAACAATCAACAAATATTTGAGAACGCGCGGATCCCGATAAACCATTTTGGAATCGAGCCGAATGCGAACACGTCCCGTGCAACGAGTGTCGATTCAACGATCGGCAATTCGACGAATAAAAATCGTCATCGTGCACCTACCAAAAAATTGCTCTCTGTCTTCCCTCATTTGTTTCCTCCTATTAATGCTAAATGTCACTTTGCTTTCATTTTGGTCACTACGTGCGTCACTCAAAAACACGGTGCTCGTTTTTCTTTTATTAAAGGCACGCTATGTTCGGTGACTGCTTTAGCCGGTCGCGCACCAACTGCGATTCATATCACGGAAAAATACTTTGCGTCTCATTTGCGACGATGGTACGTCGCGTCGCGGACGGTGAACAGTGATCCGCGCTGTTTTCATTTTCTTTCTTTTTTTTTTCTTTATCTCGGCAAAATAGAATAACAATAGCGCGTTGGACGAGGGCAATCAAAGAGAACACGTGAAAGCAGAAACATCGAACATCCCACTTCTTTTTCGCTAAAATCACACATGACATATTCACACGCAGTGGTTTGGTGAAAGAGTATAGGTCGGGAAGGGGGATTGTGTCGGACAGTTCGCGGAGATGCTGTGCTAGTTTTTCCCCTGCGATTCCACGCGTTTTCCCAACATACACGCGAACGAGACGATTCGGCGAATGCGAAAACGATCGTATCGCGCAGTCTGGAAGAGTTCTTTCCGCGGAACGACCGGAAGAGGATACACGAAGGAGTAACGCCGACGATCTTCTCGGCGCGTCGCGGGCGGCGAAAACTTTTAGTAGGTTTCCAGTAACACGGCCGCCACCGCCGCCGCCACGACGTCGTAATTAAAGTCGGTTAATCAGGCATGAAATCGTATCAAAGTCCGTCGTTAACGACTGGAACAACTTCTGGTCGCGTGACCACCCGCCGACCCACCCCTTTTCTCATCCCCCTGCGCGCACGATACACCCCCGCTCCCCCGCTCGACACGCACGTACATAAAGCTCAAAAGCAACTGCCACACTTAACTTAATGAAACGAGCAGAGGGGAGCGCTGGTGGTAGACAAAAGGTATCCAGCGGACGACGGCGCGGCGTGACGGATAAAACAGAATGTCTCTTCGCGAACGCGTCTTTCGACGAGTTCTATTTCCGCGAGAAAACGGAACAAACGGACAGAGCAAAACCGGAGGAGAGAGTCTCAATGTAACGCGCTCGTAATTATTGCAAACTTTCCTCCTTGTTATTCAGTGAGGGCGGCTAATACGCACGCTCGCGTAAGTACATTGGAAGAATCGTACGCCGCAAGAAAGACAAGCCCAAACATTTTCGGGATAAGAAGAGACAGAGAGTTAGAGTTAGAGAGAGAAAGAGAGAGAGCGAGAGAGAGAAAGAGAGAGTGGATTCTTGTGCAGTGATTGACGAGCAAGAAGGGGTTCGTTATAACGCCTAATTGTGTACAAATAAAATTAATATATTGTCGGTCGCGCGGATCGTGGATACGCGTGTCGACAATCTTCGGGATCTCAAGCGCTGTATGAGACCCTTCGTGTGTCGGAGCGAAAGCGGAAAATTCGGATTTGCTTTTGAGCGGCGGAGGAAAAAAAAACAGCGAACGATCACTGCGAGATTTGGCCGCCGCGTGTTTTCGCACTCTCGCTAATGTGCTTTCGCGATCAAGTAATTTCCGAGGAACCACGGCGGCATTGATTCCCCCATGAATGATAAATCCGAATGAAAAATTCTCCACGAGAGCACTTATCTCGGTCGTTCCGACCAATTGGTTCCGCTTCGATCACAATTAACCGCCCCGACGGGAGACTTTTTTTTGTTGCCGCCGAGAAGCGCGCGAGACGCGAATCCACGATCGGCGGGGACTTCATCACATGGCACTCGGATGCATCGGTCGTGGAATCGAGACGATAAGCGAAAATGGAGATCTCGCGAACAAGGACGATCCTACGATCAGGATCTCGTCGAGGGTACCTGAGCCACACATGGGCCGGGCTGCTCGCAACTGCATTGCTGTTTCGCTCGTTAGCAGGGCTTTCCATCCAGTTCGTTGTACGCGCTTTCCTGATTGGTCAGACACTGATCAGACGGAGGGTCGGATGTGCATGATTCGAGTGGCGATCATGTCCATCGTTTCACCGCTCCTCAACGCGTGATACATCGTCGCGCGCTGACGCGACTGCCAAGAGCGTAATTTCCGAAGGATTTGCGAATCCGACGCTATTGATTCTTTTCTTTCTTTTCTCCCCTTTGCCGCTCGACACACGCGGCGATCAATCGGGCGATATCGATTGCGATTATACGCTCTCTAATTGAAAATTGTACCAGGTGCTTTTCCCGGTGCCTTCTCTCATCCCGAGACTCCTCCTCAATTTAGAACCTTGGCCTTTAACGAAAACTCGATCAAACATCTTTTTCATATTTTAATATTCAACGTCGGATATCTTTGTGACTAGCTCTTAAATTAGAATTCCGCTCGACTACCCTCAAAGTTAAACGAAGAGAGTCATCTTTTGTTGCCGTTAAAATACACCGAGTACGAGCCGATCGAAGAATTAGCGGATAAGAAGTACGCTTGAGCGGGGGGAAAAGCGACGTCCCATATACTCGAAAGCAATGTCTTAAAATAATCAGCCGGGAAGAAAAGTCGCGTCGAAGGGAGACGCGAGAGGTTTTAACACAGCGCTCAAGACCGGTATTTTTCTGCTTTCATACTCTCTTTTCGTCAAAAATCGCGGCGATAGATACTCATGACGATTCTCTCTCGCGATCGCTGAGAACTCCCAGAAGTAAGTACCAGTTGTACGACCGCGATCAAATTTTTCTGCCGGCAGCTGTCAGCTTTCCGCCAATTCCACGAGTCAAATCAGAAAGAGAGAGAATAAAACAGAATAAAAGAGACAGAAAGAAAGAGAGAGAGAGATGAGGAAAAGATTGAAGAAAATTACGTCGTGCAACGCGCGAAAATCGCGCATACACCGCGACGCAAATGCAACGTTAATCCGTTTAATAGGCGAGTAATTAATCCGCAATTTCGCCAGAAGAAATCGCGTTATCAACAGCCGACGTTTTAAGTTCGCGTTGTGGTAAGGCGGAAATTTTATTATCCACGTCGCGCTAAGTATACACTCCGATAAACAGCAACCTATTTCGCGAATGAACTTTAATCATCGTCTCTTATTCCACGCGCGCATTCACTCTCGTTCGCGCGCGTCCGTTTTCGCGGAAGGAACCTCTCGAGTTTTCCACGACCAGGTTCTCGCATTACCCCCGTCTTATTTCCGCGACGGCAACCGCGAAGCGTCTCTCTAACGTCGTCTCTACGTGCTCTCGGGGAAAGTCAATAACAAAGGTATTACACGGCGGCAAATGTACATCGCGCGGCGGTAAAAATCCATTAAACGGCGCGGTTGGTATGGGTCGAAAACCGGAAGTACAACGGTGGCGGAGGCAAGGAAACACGGCGGGAAAAAGTAATAGCGTGCAAGAGAAAGAGAGAGAGAGAGAGAGGCAACCGGCGACAGATCCGCACGCGGCGAAACGTCAGTCGACGTGGGGCTGCACGTTACAGGGTTTATTATAAGCGGCCTCGTTTTCCTTCATTTCGCAACACGGTCAAGCGGTACATCGCGTGGTGGAAAATAATTAGCACCTTTAGTGGAACGCGGAACGTTCGTACACCGTCGTAGTCGTCGTTGTTGTGGGGCCCAAGCTTCGGCGTTAAGAAAAGACTGGCGCTTAATCAAGATACTATTACTATTTCTCTCTCTCTCTCTCTTTCTCTCTCTCTCTCTCTCTCTCTCTCTCTCCCTCCCTCTCGCCCTTTTTCACTTCCTAGCTCCTAGAAATAAACCTCCGGCAAAAATTTGCACAGGGAGACCGAATCGCGCATATCGCACGTGTTTTATCGTTGCTCGGAGCCTTTAACGCGACTTAGCTGGAATTATTCGCGCGGAATATTATAAAAACGTCACCGGCACCACCACCATCGTCGCCGCCGCCACTACCACCAGCCATGCGCGCATTCGTAAATCCGCCGGATAGCGGGAGCGCGAATCGCGCGATCCAGCAAATTGTGAAGCGCGATTAGCCCCTTTTCGAGAACGGGAAAAGTCGATAGCATATCGATCGTTGGGTATGTCGACGACCGGGCAGTAGGTGAAAGCACGCCATCTCTAGCTGGAAGGGTCGTTCGAGGATCACGTAGCGGTCCCCCGGGAACGGCGGAGTATATGGGAGAGGCGCTCGTATTTAATATGTATGTATGCGAAGGCCGAAAAAGTTGTACTTGTTGCTGGCGAAAACTCCTAAATTCCGGATGTGTCGCGATAACCGGGTTTGACGAGGGGACGATCCTAGCAGTCGAGGCCTTGACCAATGCTCGAAGTGAGTAACAAGTCGCGGAGGATCATACGAGCGCGTCGACACCACGCTCGCGAGAGCGTACACCCCTGATATGAAAACTTGCAAAAATCGTGGAAACTCCGCAGCTTTCTCCGAGCGCGTATCGCTCCTACTCTCGTTCTCGGGAGGGAGCCCCCAGGGAGACTTTAAACGCGTGAAATTTCAAGTTAAGAAATACGACGGCGGGCGGTAACGTTTTAAATTCCGCCGTAGAGAAAGCGGCAGGAAAACATACGGACGCGGAAAAACTTTGGACGGAGGGAGAGAAACTTGGCGGTTCTTTTCCGTTCCTTTCCTCGTTCACACGAGGATCCATTCGTGACATGGCGCGAAGGCCGGTCAGACAATTCGCGCTCTCGTCGCTTCATTACTCGTTTCGTCGCGCGAAATTACGGACGCCGGTGTAACTCGCGAGGCGCGTAGCTGCGTGGAACACGGGCGCCGAGCCAGCGGATTTGACAAGTTCGCAGACGTATTCAATTAAAAGTTCGCCCCGTAGCTACGGCGAGCTGCGCGCGGCCGAGAACAGCCCTCGTCGTGAAACTGGAAAGGACGGGTTTCCCGGCCATTTTCTTTCGATCTGTCGTCGGGATTTCGTCGAACAGCAAGCGAACGGCCCGTCGATCCTCGCGCGTCTCATCAGTCGCATCGATTGCGCGCGATTCCGGTGAGCATGCGGAGAGCTCATCTCGTGAGTTCCCAGCTCGAGCTTCTTCTGAACTTCTACCTGTCTCTCTCTCTCGAGCCACGTCTGGATCACGTCGGTCGTAAAAATTGGAAGGCGAGATACGACCGAGGCCGATTCGAACCCGACGATTCCCCCAGTGCTTTCCTCTCTTCGCGAAGAAAAAGCGCTCTTGGCAGTCGCGTCGCGCTCGTGAACACCACGCGGTAAAGAGCGAGCCGCCGCTTCGTGCGGCGCAGCTTTTTTCTTTTCTAATCTTGCTTGACAGAAATCATGGCGCGATATCAGAACGTCATGCTGGCGTTCGAAGGGACGGTTAGGAGCGAGTGAGCGAGCAGGAGATCGGAGGTGCGACGTCGCGCGTTACCGTCGATGTATATCGCGACATCCGGAGCGACGAGTAGTCGCACGAAATCTCGCCAAGACGCGGACGCTCGCTGAATCGGTGACTGCTCGCAGCTCGGATCTCCTGTTCGCTTGACACGACGACACCGATATAAACTGTACGTCAAACGTATTCCCATCTCGTATACGATTACATACGTCAGACATGCGATTTCATCATCTACCACTTATATAATCTGGCGGAATCGAGTCGTCACTTACCGTACGGCAGTTCCAGCCGGCAGTCAATCAGCAGGGAGTGACCCGACGACTTCTTCGTGCCGACTAGTTCGTCGCCTCTCATGTCCAGCTCCAAGTCCAGGCCGACCCACTGCCCATTGGTCTCCTGAAAACAGCAGACGCGTTTATTTACACGCGGAAATACAGAGGGACATTTTCCTATCTACATTTCAAGCTCGTCCGATACGGTCGAGGCTGACTTTGTTCGACTACCGTGAAAAACAGCGGAGCGGAAAGTCCAGTAGGTGCGTTCGCGGCAACGCCGAGATATCTTCAACATGTCCATGCATAAAATAATAAATTAATTAATACCGGCCATTATTCACCTTCAACGGTACGTTGCCGGCAGCGCGAAATAATTCACTCGAAACAATCCCTCTTTCTCTCTCCCCCTCTCGTATTCCGTGCGCACCCCCACCCTCTCCGGTCGCTGCCACTTCCCCCGAGAGCAGGTGCAATTATTAGATACGAGGCGGATGTAATTTATGTAACCAAAGTAACTTCGTCGAAGGCACTTTTTGCGCGAAGGCATGGGATTAATCTATGCGCGGATACGGTATTACGTGGACGCGATATTACGTTGTAGCGATGATGTACTTTACGGACGTGCACGTGCGGTTTATGCGCCACCAGGCGAGGAACGTCTGGCGCTCCTGCTCCTCGTCGTCGTTGTCGTCGCTGTCGGTAGAAAAGGAGCAGCGGAGGGAAAATATTCAATTCTTCGACTCCACTTCTCCGTCCTGCGGCTGAAGCGCGAACGAAAAGTACGAGCAAAATCGAGCGCAAATTGCTCGCAGACGGAATACGGTAGCGACGGCGCGAATCCGGGAGGAAAATTCTGGCAAAGTGCATAAACCAATAAACGTCCAACGGAATCAAACGCGTGGACCGAGGCACGATACGTGTCCCTGTCTGAGATTAAAACAAAGCGCAGTCTCTTTGTGCATCGATAGGTTTAGCGGTTTAAACGCTCCGTGACCGCCGAGCTCAAATGAATGGACGAACGTTCGGCCTCGGCCCCTGTCAATTTCGTTTTTTCCGCTACAATCTCCTTCGTAAGGACGCGGGTTCTGTTTCCCCCCCGTAGAGATGCCGACGAAGTCGTACGATCCAACTTACGCGCGAAATTGCTATAATTTTTTTATCGATCGGAAAAGTTTAAGCCGACAGGCGACGGGCCTGTTAGTTCGCGGATCTCTCGCGAGTTTCTCAATCACAGTCGCGAAATACATCTTTAACGAATCAATGGTAAGTAGATTGGTAGGTATGATCTAAACGGCGGTGACGAGCGGCCTTAGCCGCCTCTCGAAACTTTCGCCGATGATTTAAAACGAGGAAAACTTTGACTTCGCAAACACGTCCACATACCGCACGTAGAGCGACGAAGACGCCGGGGTGGAAAACATCGAAATTGTAGCGCGCGGGTCTGCACGGCGAAAAAGTATTCCTAGCAAACAAGATACAAATCCCGCGGCGGCGTTCTGTCTCGAATGGATCTGTTTGTCCCGAGGAACTCGGCGAGAATTACGAGCGCTCAGCTCTCGGACAAAAGATACTGCAGCCAAATCTCGATGATGCGTGAAGTAAACATTAAAGCGGTACCGGTACTCGCGCGTTGCCAAGTTTCGTCTCGTCGAAAGAAGCTACCCCCCGCTTCGTCGATTATCTCCCGATGAAATTTCCATTTTCTATCGACTAGACGCTACGAATTATTTGCACAAACGAGACCATTTTCAAGAACCTCTTCTTTTTATTTCCCCTTGCCGTTCCAGCTTTCTTGGAAAGTCGCGCAACTGACAGTCGCGGTGATCAGACTCAGGACCGTTGATGCGATATCTATGAATCTGTAAAGTTGCTATTGAAAAATTATCTGAAAAGTTCTTATCGAAATAATTTTATATGTAACTAATTTATTATAATTGTAACCCTTCGACCGCACAAATCTAAAAAATCGCTCGCATCGCAAACAAGATTATATTGACCCTAAGATTTTCTAAATTCTATATCTGAAAAACTATAACAGAGGTTGGCAAAATTCTAGAATAAAATGTAACTCTTTCACCTCAATGTTTGGTCATGCGTTCATAGAAAATAAAATTTTAATTCATTGAAAAATATTCGAATTTAAACAGTGGTCCCGCAAATTGTAATGCTTGCCTTAAAAATCATAATTTCAATACTTTTTATTATTTTAACCTACAACACTACGGTGATGAAGTTGAAAGATAGTTCTGACGGAAAGAAAATATGATTCTAGTGAGCGTTCGAAAAATATGTTTTTTTTTAAACTACCGAAAAGAAGATATTTCCAAGTGTATTTCCAAAATTAATGTTTTTATAAGGAAAACAATATTTTTGTTATGAAAGAATCAAAAGTAGTTTTTTTACTTGCAAAATAGTAACATATATTATTAAAAAAAACGATATATTATTTAGAAGCATACTTTATACGACGTGCTTGTGTAAGTTACACATCATCTAATCCTTCATAACCCTAATATAATATTATAGATATTGCTATCCTATAAAAATATATGTAGGAGTTGTTTCGATATGAACTTTCAGATATTAGAAAACACTTCACAGATTTCGTAATGTCAATTGTGTTGAGGCTGAGTGTGACTGTCAGTTGCGTGGTCTTCGAAAATCGCCTTGTTTATACAAATAATTTCGAGCACTCGCCAGACGGCTACATTATTTCAGCGCTATATCAACTTTGCGAAGTGAATGCTTCTGACTAGACGATAGAAACAATTATCGCTGGTTATCATAGCGATTAATCGTCTACTTTCTCTCTTTCGCGCGCGCGCGTGTCACACGGAAAATAATGACAACGCGATATTTTTACGGTTGATACTGAAATGGCAGGCGGTTGGAAACATCGAAAAAAAAAAAACGGTTATTCCGATACCGACTCGTGATCTCAATTGGTCGGACACGACGCTAAGATATAATCGGCTATTATTAGTCGCATTTTACCTCTGGAAATCAATCGAGACCATTAAAGACCAGATCGGTAACCGTTCGCCTAGTAATATCGCGCGATATCCGAGGTGCGAAATCCGAATTCGGCCTCGATTCGTCGTGTTTAAAATGAGCGTACGTGGATCACGGTGTCAATTTATATTCACCTACTGACACGGATCAGTTTTCTTCGGACAATCGCTCCCGTTTCCACGCAAATGTCGCGGGGTTCGCGTACGGCGTTTCATTTTTCTCTCCTCAGTCACGATGTCTCATCTCGTTCCGAGCGCGCGTGTGTGAGTCCGGAATTTTAATGGACGGGCAGCGAATGAATTTTTCATTATTATGGGAGAAGTTACAATTTTCTCTCTCTCTCTCTCTCTCCCTCTCTCTCTACCGGTCGGACGCGAGGCGCGGCTTGGTGGTACATACCGGGTCTGGCCGGGGCTACCGTGCCGTAATGGTGCTAAAATAAGAAGCACGGTTCAGGAGCACCGCGGCCGTTCGTTCCAGTTAATTCCACCCTATTACGGCGCTACCGGGGGAGGGTCGAATTAGGTTAGCAGTGACGGGAACTGGTATGACGCACCAGTCGCCCCTACCTTTCCGGTTTCAATCTGTTTCTTCGCAAGCCGGTCCAATTAGCGTGCTTACCGTGGGGAAAGGATAAGAAAACCATGTGTGTAAGAGAGAGAGAGAGAGAAAGAGAGAGAGAGACGCGCGTCTCGCCTTCGCAACGCGAGAAAATAGATGGCGAGCGCAACCAACCGGCCGATCGATCGATTCCGATCGCTCCCTCGCGAGGCCAATATGCACTCTCATCGAGGCCCGCGAGAAGAATATGATTTCCCGACGACGTTAGATCGGGAAACGAGTTTTCGCGCAATTTACCGACCTTCTTCTGGCGACGGCGCTCTTATCTCAGGAGCCGTCAGCGCCGGCACAAAAGAAGCCGCCTGCTGTTCGCACGTTCCGATCAAGCGCGGACGAGATATACTTTTTTCATTCGCCCCCACACCGACGCGAAAAAGTGAGGCGAGACTAACTAACCGAGACGATCGCGAAACCGTCTTGTAACCGCCAGTTATTACCACTTCGCCGGGGGATCGCTGTTTGCGAACGCCGCGCCATTTATTTTCGCCGCGTGTGATAAATAACGCGGTGCTGCGGAAGGGCCGAGGAAACGACGGGCGTCGTTAGGCCGCGGACGCGCGCGACACGATCGCTAACTGTCGCGATCTCGAGTTACCGCTTTCTTTCCGCGCGTTTCTTACTTTTTCGCGTCCTCGTCGCGAGGTTTTCCCTCACCGGTGCGACGAGGAGCTCTCGTTTCTCAATCTCTCACGACGGCAAAAAGAGAATCGCCGATGACGTCGTGGGAGCCGGAGTGAGAGCGGTGATCGTGGTGGTTGCCGGGGCGGAGCTGACGAGCACTCGCGGACGGGGCATGACGCCCGCGTAATTAAGCGTCCGACGACACACAATGACTCTCCGCCGGCCGGGAACTACTCACGTACATCGTCGTGCCAAGAGCGTGAGAGAGAGAGAGAGAGAGAGAGAGGGAGCCAGGAATTCAACGACTTCCAGTTCGGTCAGAGATGACGGACATTGCAGTGCACTAACGACGACGACGGCGACGTTGACATTGACGTCGACGTCAGTGACGTCGGAGAAGAGCGGACTAAGATAACCGGAAGTACTTTGGTCGCGATAAAGAGCCAGGTTCCGCCTCGTCATCTCTCGCAATCCTGCCGACTACGTGACTATATTCGCGATCGGGAAAATAAAATTTATGCGATTTACGACACGGGAGACCGTCGGAGGAAGGCACGACGGACCGGGTTAAAAAAGAGTCGCGAGCTGCCGAGCTAGTGTACGATAAATCAGAATGCAAACTGCATAATAGCGAATGTGGCACACCGAAGTACAACCTGTCCGCTGGCTTGAACGAGATATATGCATTCATCACGCGAGCCCCGAACGCACGAGCGCCGCCGTCTGACGTTGGCGCGTCTGCATCTACTTGCGAGCGCCTGCTTACGGCCGACCGACGATCTGTCTTAACGTCTCACGATGATGACTGCATTTGCGTCGGCTTCGCCGAGACGTGAACCATCGAGATACTCGGTATCGCGATACTTA